TGTCCCCAACTTAATCACCTACAAAGCCCATTAGGTGTGAGGTTTTATCACAAAAGGTCACAGTGTTATTAAGAGTTGTGTCATTTATTATATATTGTATTTCATTTAGTCAAGTTTCCGATGTGGGATATTCTTCAACACGACCCTCACGTGGGATCACTATATAGTGGGTCACACGTGTAACTAAGTCCACATCGGAGTGAAGCATTCAAACCTAACATGTGAACACCACATGTTAGGTAAGGGGTAAGGGTAAATGCCCAATAATTCAGGCCTAGTCAATCAATCTGCTCTAAGAGCACTTCCACCCCAAAAGGCAATGGCAAGGCAAATGCAAGGCAATGGTAGATACTATTCACGTGAATAGTGTCAACCTTACCTTTTTTGGTTCCATCCCAAAGGGTAAGGGAAAAGGCAAGCACTATTCCCTTTACTTTATTTTCAATTTTTTTTTATGCTTAACTATTAATTTTGATTGCTTTTTAGATAATATTTTTGGTTGCCACATGTCACTATTTATTATAAAATTCTCACCTAAAATTTCAGATAACATTTTCGGATTAAATTTTCGAATTAAATTTTCGGATAAGATTTTAGGTTGCCACATGTCCATCAAATCCCTTCGTTTTAGCTTCCAATAGGACTTTGTTTTAGGAGACATATGACTCATATCCATGGCCATGATTTTCATCTCTCTGTCCTTCATGTCTTGTTCTTGTGCCTGCTGCCTTTGAATTGCAAATGCTTTATGTCGTGCCTTGTCCGCTTCTTCTCTTTTCAAGTCTCTCTCAATTCTCAGTGCGCCATTCTTAGCTATATGCTCCAAAATTTATGCACATTTATTGTTCGAAGTGCTCCCTCTCTTGGCCTTTGCCGTCTTTCTCTCAATAGGTCTCGGCGCATGTGGGAGTGGTGAGTCTTGATCCATTAGGGAGTCTAATGGTGAATCGATTGCTGGAAAATCGTGAAGCGGCATCTCATTCAACCGGCGGACCTGTGAAAATAATTTTGAATCTCGAACACAACTTCCCAACATTGGTGACTCAAGATACTTTTTTTTGCCTTGCACCATGGCATCGAACCACATTTGTGCTTGTAGGATCTATTAAAAATAAATAATTGGAAATGCAAGAAAAGAAAAAGGTTATGCAAGAAAATATAAACAATTTGGAAATGCAAGAAAAAAATAGATTAGGTAAGAAAATATAGACAAATTGGAAATGCAAGAAAAAGAAATTGAATATGTAATAAATAAAAAAAGTTACATTAAATTGATTAAAATGGCAATTAGAAATATTTTACCTCATCGGAAAGATTTTGACTGCTTCAAATGTTCTCCCTTACTTTTGTCAAGGCATCTCTCCATTTTCCTAACTCTTTATTCAGAATTTTCCATCTACTAGACAAGGCTATTTCGGTCCGAATCGAACCCGATCTTTCATAAAATTCTCCATGAATTTTGCTCCACATATGAGCGAACTTCATCTTATTGCCCGTGACAGGGGAATGATTAACTTTCACCCAACACTCACACAACACAACACAATATCTTCCTGAGTTGTCCATGCGCCTCCAGCTTTGACAAAAGAGGCCATTTGTTTTTTTTGATACAAATGGAAAGTAGTAGAAAAACGTGAGTGGAAAGTAAAAAATATTAAAATGAGAAGAGTTTCTATGAAGATTTGGCGTGGAAAGTGAATAAAATTGTTAGGTATTTATAGGGAAAAAAATCCAGAATTTTTTGGTATTTTTTTTAAAAAAATTTCCATCATATTTCTTTTAAAAAAAACCATCGCAGCATCCGGGAAGCGCCACGTGGTGTTTTCTCGTTGGCTTCTATTAGGTGCCTTCGGGCTTGAGCCCAGGCAAGACTTGCCCGTGGGCTTGCCAGGCTGGATTCTTTGCGCTAGAGGCGTTTTTGGGCTGACAGGGGGCCTGTTGCCCTGGCAGGGCCTCTGTGTTGCACATGCTAATACCATGTTAACTTTCAGAGAGACAGGGTATCAGCCCACTATTAACAATATCAATATTGTTCACAACTTAACCACCTACAAAGCCAAGTAGATGTGTGATTTTATTACAAAAGGCCTTGGTGTTATTAGAAGTGGTGTCATTTATTTGTATTTTATTTAGTCAAATTTCTGATGTGGAACTTATATTCTTCAGCTCAATTTACTTCGTTGAATCAATTTTCTACCAACTATTCATACATAAAAAAAAGATCTTTGTGAATGATTACCTAATGTAGTCGAAGTTTAGTTCATGACACTAAATATCAATCAACTTAACTAATGCATGTTCATAACATTCATAAACAATACAGAAGAAGAAGTGTGGTTTGTACTAGAGCCCCACTTCGGCTCAAAGCCCAAAAAGCCCAAAATATATTTTTAAATAAAAAAAGCTTTTTTAAAAAAATAAAAAAATAAAAAAACCTAACTTTTTTTTTTAACTGCCTTGCAAGCGAGGTCAAATGGCCGTCCTCAAATCTGACCGTTTACCGTCTAACTTGGTAACAAGGAGATAATAAAAATCCCAATCACGCTTTTGTTATTTTAATTTTGTCTTTTGTTATTAATCTGCAGCCTCAATTGACCAAACTCGCTACGCTTACTTGCCTTGTGGGTGAAGTATGTGACGGCAACGTATTCTTCACTCCATCTTTATTTCCTTATCTGTACTGTAATTCTTTTTTGTTTTGCCAAAAAATTTCCTGCTCCACTTGCATGATTTTATAGGTAAAAATCTTTTGTTGTTTTTTACTTTAATTTTTTACTTCCAGACGACAACTGTTTTTACAGGACCACCTTCTCCAATATGGCAGAGGGTTTGTGTGGCGTTAGAATTTGAAGTACAAGCTTTTTATCTATATTTATGTTTAATAGGACAAATTGGACAAATCCAGGTGTTTTTTTTTTTTTTTTTTCCAGCTTTTGATTCTGCAATTTAATTTCTAATTAGTAAAAACACATGTGTAATTTATAAATCCAGTTGACACTTGGCATACATGCACTTTCCATGGCATGCTTATCCATCAATTGTTGACCATTCCTATTTTGGATTAATTTTGCTTATAAGGATTGATGTGTTTAGATTTCTTACCACAATTGGAGTAAGATTTGAATGTTGTTTAAGAGAAAATATGAGTGATATGTGTTATGAAAATGGTTAAGAATTATCTTTTTACCGTCACCTGAGAAAGATATAAATATAATTATTGTATGTTTATATATTTATTAGGAACAAGGAAGCTATGAGTCAGGGAGTTTAGATGAGGACTCGAGGAATTGGAATTGGATCAACTACCCCCTTAGCCAGATCCCATTCATGATTTTGAGAGGATTTTAACGTGAAACTCACATAATTTTTGGTTCCTTATGTGTTAAATTCATGAATAGGAATCATTCCAATTGTCATGTGTCAGTAAACACATAAACCAAGAATTGAAATCGTTTCAATACCCACATGTTAGTAAATACCAGAATCGAAAATATCGATAATATCGAGGATATTATCCTTTTTTTGGGGCAAAAATATTTTGGAACATATCCATACATATATCGTATAAATATCGATAATATTGAAAAATATCGATGTCGATAATTTCTTTTACACTTTAGCAATATTTGGCCAAAATATCGCTATAATATCGATAATATCGATAATATCGAGATGATGATGACAATGAAAAATTTAAAGAGTTATTTACATTAACACCCCTAATGTTTCTTGTGTTGCAACCCAGTCTTACAGTTGTTTTCTTTTTCTTTTTGGGTAAAGATGATAATTTATTTTGAAAAGGTTTTTAATTTTTGGAAATGTGCACAAGGTTTTATGCAACTGACGCGGGTTTCAATGCTGTGTGTGGTGGCAAATGGTGAAAGGACTAGCACACCAGCTGGGTTTTAAGTCACAGCTTTTGTGACCCCAATTACCCTGCAAAGATAAAATGTAATTCTTTTCAAAAGTAAATATGGAATTTATGATTTATCCATTTTAAAATAAATCACATACATTTTAAACTTTCAGAATTAGTATTTTATAAATCGAGAATAGTATAAATTTCATAAATGGATAAAATTTTTATTTAGCATCTATACAGATATGAAAATAAGTTTTACTAAATTTGTTTTGACTCTTAAGTTAACTGACATATATGACGAGTAGGGTTTGCTTGGTCGGGCTCAGGAATTTTTATTTTTATTTTTATTTTCTCTTATAAATTCCGCATTCTAATTCTTTTATTTATTTATATGAGAAATATAAATGATAAGATTCAAACTTTTGCCAAAGGGGGTGGAGTAAGGTGTATGATTGTAGCTAGAATAGGCGAATTAAAACTAGTTATAGACAAAGAATGTCAGAAAAATAACGATAACCACTATCTCACCGTGATGACATAAAACTGCACTTTTGATGTATAACGACTTTTTAAAATTGAAGAAAAGTACACGCAGCAACTACCGGTAACTACTTAGCAAGAATAACTCATTGTATTTGTAACTATTATCTACTTGTAGTTGTTTTTTCTTTATTTTAATTTATTTATGGAAAACTTTGATGGTTTAAAAATTATAGAGTATTATTAACGTAGAATAACGTCATGGTGGTACATTCTAACTTACACTATTATATCAATTGTAAAAGAATTAATACAAATAACATTTTCTTTTCGAAAGAACATACTAGCTTCTTGATACACGTTCGTAAAAGAAAATAAAAATAATAAAATTAAGAAATAAGAAAAATAAGAGAGATAAGTTTCACCTCCCTAGTCACTGTTTTGCTTGAACAGTTTCTTTAGCAAATGACATTTTTGGATGTTAAAACTTCAAAATTTTCACCAATTCTTAACAATTTTCTATTTATAAATAATAGAAATGAAGGAGAAAATAAAACATAAAAATAGAAGTAAAAAAGAAATAAAAATTACTAGAATATTATATGACTTTATTGGGCTGATATTTCCATCCGAGGAACTTGTTGTATAAGTAGGCACAATTTTCTGCCATTTCACTCAAACCAAACCCAAAGGCCATGACACAAATAAAAGGGAACAGATCAGAATAAAAATTAAATCGAAAACAGTTTCTTGTAAACTAAGGCATTCCCATCATTTCTTCGACACCAATCAAAGCCCTATCGCTTGCTTTTCCCCTCCACCAAATCCCCAGAAGCCTCCATATCAAGGACCAGACCAAAAACCAGACCCATCTCTGAGCTTTCGGACTCATGGGTCGCGAAGCAGAGCAACCAAAAGCAATAGTACTCGCAGCCACAGCCCCAGTCACGCCGCCGCCAGCGCCAACGGCTTTGGCTCCAGGCTTCAGGTTCCACCCAACAGACGAAGAACTCGTCATTTACTACCTCAAGCGCAAGGTGTGTCGAAAACCCTTCAAATTCAACGCGATCTCCGAGGTCGACATCTACAAGAGCGAGCCTTGGGACCTCGCAGGTAATACCCACCTCTCCAATTTTTATTATTTAAATTTATTTAAATTTTGTAACTGGGCTTTTTAATTTTTGTGTTAAATTTGCTTTTTATTGTGTTTTTTTTAAGCTTTTGTTTGCTTAATGTTTGTGTTTTATAAGGAAACTTGCCTTATTATGTTTGTGGGTCTTCCTTGCTGATTTTTCGGCTGAGATGACGCTTGGAAATTTTGTGCCTTTTTGGGCTTTTTTAGATTCTGGGTTGAAATTTTGGTTATTTATTGAATTTTTTACATGGGTTTTTAGATAAGTCGAGCTTGAAGAGCAGGGACCAGGAGTACTACTTTTTCAGTGCATTAGACAGGAAGTATGGAAATGGGGCAAGGATGAACAGGGCTACAAACCTAGGGTACTGGAAGGCCACAGGAAATGACAGGGCAGTCAAGCACAACGACATCACTGTGGGGATGAAGAAAACCTTGGTTTTTCATAGTGGCCGAGCTCCTGATGGCAAAAGGACCAATTGGGTTATGCATGAATATAGGCTTGTTGATGAAGTATTTGAAAAAGCTGGGCTTGGTTCCATTCAGGTGAGGCCTTGGCCTAATTTTCGTTAGTGCTTTTATGCTATAAGCAACTTTTTTTGTTTATGAGAGAAATGCTGTTTTTGCACTTGTGTTATGCTAATTTTGGTTTGGTAATTATCAAAAGTTTTGGCATTGGAGCTGAATAGTTTATTTTAGTGAACTGCTGAACTTGGTTTATATTGTGTTACAATAATGTGAACTACTGAGATCCGTACCTACATTTTATTGAACCATCCAAACGGTATTTTTATTTTAGTGTTGGCTATTGCTATCTTCTGGAGATTGATTCATTATTTTTGTTGTCTTTTTTATTTGGGGGCTGCAGGATGCATTTGTGCTGTGTAGAGTATTTCATAAAAGCAACATAGGACCACCAAACGGGCACAGATATGCTCCTTTTGTTGAGGAGGAATGGGATGATGATGACAAGTTAACTTTGGTTCCTGGACAAGAGTCCCGGAATGAAGCTGTAGCTGGTCGGGATGCATTTATTATAGGAAATGGTCATGCTGCTTGTAATGACCAAAATGCTCATGCTGCACGTAGTGAACAAAATGCTCATGCTGCACGTAGTGAACAAAGTGGTCATGCTGCACGTAGGGAACAAAATGGTCATGCTGCATGCATTGAAGGAAATGATCATGCTGCATGTAATGGAGAAAATGGTCACGGCACTTCCGTCCAAGGAAATGGTCATGGCACATCCGTCCAAGGAAATGGTCGTGGCACTTCCGTCCAAGAAAATGGTCATGGAACTTCCGTCCAAGGTAATGGTCATGGAACTTCCATCAAAGGAAATGGTCATGCAACTTCATTCGAAGGAAATGATCACGGAGCTTCTGTCAAAGGAAATGGCCACGGCACTTCTGTCAAAGAAAATGGCCACGGCACTTCTGTCAAAGAAAATGGCCACTTCTGTCAAAGAGAAAATGGCCACGGCACTTCTGTCAAAGGAAATGGTCATCTTACTTCTGTTGAAGGAAATGGCCATGGCATTATAATTGGAGATGATCATGGAACTACTAATGAGGGTAACTGTCTGGAAATGGTGGAATATGGTCCTGATATGCACAATGCAGGAAATAATTTTGAGCAGGTTTGTGCTTTTCAGTTTATTTCTGTTTTCCTAAGTTTGTCCACATAAATATTTGTGCTCTTTTATCGTATAGGCTGAGTTTGCTCATCTGTTATGCAAATAGTGATTTCTCCACTTTATCATTAGTGTATCATGATGATTGTGATTGACAACAAGACAAACAACTATTCACTAGAACAACTCAATCAAAGCATGCAATCAACCAAATGAAGCATGCATTTTGTTTTTGTTTTTGTTTTTGTTTTTGACAAACATGCACCTTGTTTTGATTGAAGGTCCTTAATTTAGGCAATATGGGATATTTAATCATTTGTAGGTATTAGAAATTTCAATGAAACATGCAAAATAATAAAATGAGGATTTTACTGTATGCTTAGAAATGGGACTAAACATCCAATATGCTGCACCAAAAGAAAGGATGTAACTACATGGTTGGAAATGAGAATTTTTATTTATTTTTTATTTGTTCCGTGGACTGAATTCATGAATTGCTAATCCAACTTCTCAATCGTCTTGTGGATTGAAATTTTCTAAACTGAATCATTTATGTTTTCTTCTATGTATTTGTTCTTTCCTTGAAGAAGTTTTTCACAAAATACTGACTAATTTATTTAGATGATAACCTATGGCCCCCTTGTTTCTATGCCATCTCTAGATTTATCATTTTAAAGGTGTCATCATGATATCATTACAAACTGGAATTGTTACATAATTTTGAAATGGAAGTTTGGAAGACAATTTATGGAGGCTTCCTTATGTGGAAAAAGCTGCAATGACTGCTTGATGAAATTGTAATTAGTCTGACAAGGTACTCTTTGAAGGATGGGGTATTCTATGTGTCCCTGGTTTGGAATTAGAACATGTGGTTTGTGAGAACTTCCTATGATTATGTGGCTAGGGTTTTCTGTATTATTTGCCCTTGATTTAGGGTAACTATATTTTATGTTCCAATAATCAGCAACTGTTTTGACCGTGGTCTCTAAATGAATTGCTCTTCAGATATGGCTTATAATGTTGTATCTCCTATCGTACTAGAATTTGGCAGTTTGAACTTTGAAGTCTTGGAGAGTTCTCTTCCGAAAAAGAAGAAGAAAGTTTTGGAATATTATTCTGTTTTATGGATCTGTGGCCTAAAATTGGTTTTTTTGAGGATAAGTAAAATAGGATGGTACTTTAGATTAGAGATTGCTGTAAAATAAGTAAAGTACCTTGAGAGAAAGATATCAGAAGGTGGAATAGTTAAAAACTCAGTAGGCTGTTGATTTTGTTGGATTTTATGTGAGTTAGGGATAAAGAGCAAGGATGTTGCTTTTCTGTAGAGGAGCATATGCATAATTGGAAGGTTTATAGGTTGTTTGAGATCAAGCTGTAGAAAGAAGTTGACAGCATTCTTGCTGAAGGTGATAACAAAACGATGATTCTAATGACATAGACTGTAGCTTGTTGGAATTTTTGAAAGACCAGGTGATGAAGAAGAACTCTTAGAGCATCGAAATGGTAACTACGATTTAGGTTCTGATCTGATGACTGTGGTGTTTGTTAACGATCTTTTAGCATAGGTGTTGGATTTATGAGGCTTTTGTACAACAATTTATCTTCTTGATTCCTAAGCAGGCCAAATGGTGAACAATCAAATTTTGCAGTTCCCAAGATTTCTTAGTATGCCAAACAATTATTCTAGTTAATACCTAAGTCAACTTATGGATGGTACACTGAAGGAACTTAAGCTTAACCAGGCGATTGTTCAAGTCACTGGTTTACTAGTTCAACCTGCATTCCTCTCTCCCCCGCTCTCCCCCTTATATCCTTATCTCAGCAGGTGCCTGAAGCTGTGTTTTGCTGTAGATTGTGTTTCCATGTGTAGAGTCTTGATTTGGGAAACTATATCATGGCATATACGACTTGCCAGTCTATTTGTTTTCCACATGAAAAAAGGTTGTGTTTTTAAAAATCAGAAATATGGTTAAACTAAGGGATTGCCATACCCTGAAGAAAAGCCTGGGATGGTGACTATATGTCCATCATTTGTGCTCTCCTTTTATTTTTTTGCAGAACTTTTGGCTTTCTTAAAGTTAATTAATAGATCCTTCTGCTGTTTAATCAGATTTTGACGGTCTTAATTAGCCCATTATGGTGAGTAGAAACATAAGGATCTCCATTGAACTCCAAGTATTAACTATGATGTCCTTACATGGCTCCAGATAAAAATATTAGATAGAACTGAAGAAAAACAAAGAAAATTATTAGAAGGTAATTTTTACCACATGTTAAATGTTCTTTTGAGTTTTGTTTTATCGCATTGGTCTGTAGAAATTTATGTCACATACAGCTGGAAATCATTAAATCCTAGCCTTAGAATAATATGAGACCAATTTTTATTTTATTATTTTTAAACTAAAACCACTACTTAGATTGTTCATAATGCTACTTTCTGACCTGACACCACAGTATCAGCTACTTTAAGTTGTCTCTTTTTGACCTGAATATAGAAATCATGGATGCAAAAAACTGAATGAAAGACACATATGCCTTTCAAAGAACCATACTACCTGACCATATTTCTGAGTATTGCAACTGTATTTCGAGACTCTTGAATCATTATAAATCTCTCAATTTCTTTTTTTCTCACTCTATCTTTAAACTCTAATCTTTTGTTGAAACTATCCTTGCTTGTGCAATTTAGATTTAGATTTACAGGTTATCATCTATTATTGTTGCTGTGTTGTGTGCATCATATCAGAAGTTTATCATGTGATTGAATATACACCAAAAGAAGTAGATAATGACATGCTATTATAAGCAACCAAAGTTGATATCATGTTATTTTGTGTACAACCAACCTGACCTGTTTGAAACATTCCCATTAATATTGTTCTTTTTTACAATAGATCTGGGTTGTACCGCATATATGTATTGGACTTGTTTGTTCATCATATTTGACTTGAAACTTTCCTTTGTATTTTCAATTCACCATATCTCCACAATTTGCTTGTCTGTCTTGGTTGCTCATTTCAGGATACTCAGCCCATCAGCAATGCTCTTGTGACTGATGGTGAACTTCCAACAGAGAATGAAAATGATTTACCGCTTTGCAAGACAGAGAGAATGGATGATTATCCCATGACATGTGTGGTTAATCGGGAAGAGAGATTGGATGATTATCCATCACCAGGTCCTGATGATGCACAACCCCTGCTATCTTTGTTCAATCGACATCCTGGGCAACTACGCCAGTATAAAAGAAGGCGGCATAATGATTCAAATTCTAACCATTCAAATGCTTCTGACATTTCAAGTGGGATGACGCATGACCCTTGCTCGTCCACAACAACAACAGCGTCAACTGAGGCATCGATGACCACGACAACAAGAAATTTTCTGTCTGCACTGGTGGAGTATCAGCTGTTAGAATCCCTTGAACCCAAAGATACTACTCCACCACCACCGCCTGAATTCAGTGCTGCTTTGCTTCATTCATCTGTGCCTCCTAGCTGCTTGAAATATGTAGAGACTCTGCAAAATGAAATCCACAAGATCTCTATTGAGAGGGAGACATTGAAATTTGAAATGATGAGTGCCCAAGCCATGATTAACATTCTTCAAGCACGAATCGATCTTCTAAACAAGGAGAATGAGGATTTGAAGAGGAACAATGTCTGAGTCGCCTAGTGGTTCGTAGTCGTATGTACTCGTAGTGTTCTTTGTATGAGTTAACGGCGCCCGTATGGGCCGTGTTGAACTATCTACAGTGAGTATGTTTTCCTTAATAGAGTCGGTAACTGTCTGTTGTTAATTGAACGATGTTGTAAACTGTAGCAAGCTTGTTGTACCAGTAGCAAGCTGAACTATGTTGTATCTTTATGGGCTTGGATTAGCCTGTCATCGAAATCGGCAGTTTAGACCTGAATTATGTTAAATATCAACCTTTTTGCCGTTGTTAGATAAACAAAGTATTTGTTTAGTCAGTGCATAGTTGAATGTGGCAAGTACAACTCTTAGATAATACCTCAGTTTTGCATAAGAATGACTCGGCAGTCACTGTGCTCTACAATTAAATTTGGAGCAAGAGATTATCTGGACTATGGTTGATGGTATTATTCTGTCTAGAATGCTTTAGCGTCTGTTTGCATAACAATCGATATTGATAGACACTAAATTATTACACAAACTATTGATTACTAATTGATTTGACAATTTCTTATTCGTTGGGAGCATTCACAATCATGCTCTCTATTTTTTAGTTAAAATTTAGCTAAAAACACTAGAAAGCTATTTTAGAAGCTCTCTATAAAATTTCAACTCCAACCATACTCTCTAGTTTAAAGAGTCATAAATATTTTTAATAAATTTTAATTCAATGTTTGAATAAAGTGTAGACACAAAAGCAATAATAAAAAATAGTTGGCATTAAACAAATGCTTATATAAGCATTTAATTGTAGGGAGTCACTAGGAGTACTTTCTCTCTCCTCAAATTTAGGAGTTTCTAGAGGTCTCCCTATTTTAGGAGCTGAATAATGAGCATGGTTGAAGGTGGGTTTTTTCAATTCCTCTCTAAATTAGCTAAGGAGGTGGTTTAACGAGCCCATTGTGAATGCTCTAAATAAGATCTAAATTGGAACTAAAAAGGAAACAAATGAAACATTGCCACATCAATTATTAATCATAAGTTGGTATTTCTAGTATTACTGGCCGCCAAAGGCCAATTGGGTCAGCTCCAAAAGAGATATTTCGAAAGCAAGATCAGGGCTAGAGAGCTATTGTGTGGAGAGATGCTTGTGATAGAAGCCTTGGGTAGAATTAGTGCAAACTACGATTTAGAATTCCTATAATAGCTCAAGAACTATTTTGAAAGAAAAAAAAAGGTGCAAACCTCGCGTAGTTTCTTGGGTTGCTTGGATTCTATTAGGGATGACAATTTTTTCCTCAGGTTAGGGTTTTCGAGAGGCGCAACCCTAACAAGTCAAGTATGAAAGATAGAAATCGAACGTCGTGGTAGGGCAAGGGGGGTATTCGAATCCTCGATCCAAATCCTTCCCATTTAGAATAATGTTATTTATTTTTCATATGAATATATTGTATATTAGATTAAATTGAATTATATTATATTATGTATTAAATTAAATAATACATTAGAAAAATTACGAGTGTATGTTGTCATAGTTGAACAATTTCTAACTTTTGTTATGGGGTTGGGGGAACTCATTCCCGAATGAAGGTGGGAATGAGGAATTCTCAATTTGAATATTATAGATGGAGATAGAAACGTCATGCCTAGCTCCAATTCACCTCATCCCTATGCCTACAATGGGAAAATCTGATGTGTATGACTTGGACAAACAGAAGGAGGCTTTAAATCTTAATGAATCTGGCCACGCCCCTTGGGCTGAATATTCTATTGAATTTTTTTGCCATGGGTTTGAAAAGGAAACCTCAAACCCTAAACCAAAAATTCATGCCTATGCCAATAATTGTGCATCAAATACATTCCCAAATCATGATAGAAAAATTCCGAAGGTGGCTGAGGGTATGAGATTCCCTCATTCATGGGTTTGAAAAATCCATGTGGGAGGTTTCATATTCCCATCACTCGTTTTACCAAACATGGGAATAGTTTCACACAACCTTTCTCAAGACTACTAATCAGAAAACCAAAGGGAAAAAAAAATGCACGTTTTGCCCAAGATTAGGCATAATGTATTTTCTTTACCATTGAGAAAGGTTGTTTTGACACGCATATCAATTTGAAGTTCAAACCATATGCTATTTCATTAGAATCTATGTACTCCTTCAATATGAGTATATCCTTGAGCTACCAAACTTGCTTTGTTTCTTTGAATTTAACCTTGATCAACATATTTATTCTTTGATACGCGTTTAGTACCGATGACATTATTATCTGTCGGTCTTGGAACTACATCCCAAAGTTCATTTATGGTAAACTAATTCAGTTCATGGTCTCATCTAATCCGATTTGAATCTTGAACGTTGGCTTTCTTAATAGCAAAATTTGTGAGCAATGTGTCTCAAGACTACTTTCTATAATTCTGTATGTTCTACTCATCAAATATAACCATTAATACCAAACCAAAGAAATGTATCTCAGCGTGGAAACTAAACCCTTTTCTTGCGCACCAGGGATGGCAATTTGTTCCCGTTTCCTGCTAAACCTGCGGGGGCATGCCTTGCTGCCTAGGGATGGGAATACTATCCTCGTCCTCACCTCGCTTTCAGGTTTAAGTTCATTAAAAAAAAAGTATAATATATTTTTTTTCCTAGCTAATTCACAATTTTTAGTTTTAATTTGTGTTTATAATTTTACTTGTAGTTACTTAAGACTCGTTTGGGAGCGCTTCTTCCCGAAGTGCTTATGTCAGTATTGCTTATGACGTAAGTGCTTCTACAAAGAAGCCATTTGTTGTTTAGATGTCACATTTAAAAGTATTTTTACACTACATAAAAACGTTTTTGATATTTTGTTGAGTATTTGGCTGACATGGTAGAAACGTTTTTAAAAGTATTTTAATTTTTTTTTAAAGAATTCCAAAATATTATAATAAACCTAGGAAATAAAAATTCACATGATCCCAAAATAAAAACAAGACCTAAAAAAGTATGAGCTTCACCAAGTATAATTTTTAATCATTTTTTGAAAATAAAAAAGGAATTAACCAAACATAAGAAGATAGCACAAGGGAAATCGTGTTTCAGGAAAAGCTAGGTGAAAAGATTATAGAAGATGATGCTGATGAGTTGCATTTCATTGAGTTTGAAAAGTCTGAATGATATGGTTAGTGGATACCTTTCTGGGCAGAAGGCACTGTCTGGTGAGTAAGAAGAAAGTCTCCATTTTGGTGACGATGTGGTTAATTTGGGGCTGTTACTTCTTTATCCATCTTTACAAAATAACAGTAGGGATATGAAGAATTTTCACAAGGAAAATGATGTAGAAAAAGGAGAAAGCAAATTTAGAGGAGACTTGCTAATGTGATAGAGAAACAACTATTGGAAGATTTTGATTCACTCTTATGGAACAGTAATCCTTGATAGGGTAGTGTTTTGGTTTTAATGTGGGGGGGGGGGGGGGGGGAGAGGGAGGGGGGGGGGAATAGTGTATATTTTGGTATTTAAAAAAAATAAATATGGGTATTTTTAGTATTTTTAAAGTTTCATTAAAGAAAACTAAGTGCTTCCCGTGTTTTTGTCCCGCAGCGCTTTTTTCAAAACCACTCCAAGTGCTTTTGGAACTCACCCAAAGTGCTTGGTAATTTTTGCCAAACACCATTTTTAAAAGACAGAAGCATTTTCACCAATTTAGAAGCACTTCTCACTGCTCCAAAAGCACTCCCAAACGAGCTCTTAGTAGTGCGATTGTAGAATTATATGTCCGTGGTATATAAAATCGTATTTGTTAGCATCTTTATGCACTACATTATGAGACTTTATTATTTTATTTGAGAAATAATTTAATAAGAAAGTAACCCGGGCTCCAAATCCCATGGTAATGGCATCCTAGGTTTCAACCCTCCTTGTTACCATATGCACACCTATACTTGGGGATAGGAAGAGAGAATGCAATGCCCAAATTTTGGTATTTTGTAGTGTAATACTAACACCAACACACAATCTCTCTTATATAAATTTATTTATTTATTTACAATGTTTTAGAATGCTTCATAAATAAATTTAGAATTTTTAATCTTTATGGCACCGGATTAAAGAAATTATGAGTCTCACATGCGCACAAATTACCAACGAAAATGTTAACGTAATTGATTTCTTCGACTAAATGTTGCTTATTTTTCAAATTTGATGAATCATTAAATTAATAAATTCAGAGCCCATTTGATAACTATGCCAAGGTGGGTTTAATGGTCACTAAGTTGGGCCACAAAGTCACTCTTTTAAGCCCGTGGTTAAGGGGGCAGGTTTGATTTTTTTTTTTTTTTTTTTTGTGTGCCTAGAAAAGGAACTTTTATTAAAGATGAACACATGCATTAGCATCTCCAACTGAGGTATAAAACAACCATATTGGAGGTACAAAGTCCCAATAAAAATTACCATACCCTACACACAAAAGATGCAACCTCGTGAGCAACTTTGTTACAACTGCGAGGTGTATATACAAAGGTTGCTTTCTAGAATTCTCGAATCACAGCCAGGATGTTGAAAAGAATACTATCCACCTCCACATCCATGGTCGAGTTTGATTGTTTGAAGGGAAAGTTCAGGGGTCAACGGATTAGGTACAAGCAATGCTTGAATAGGGGCAGTTAGAGCGAGTATCCTTGGTCCATTGTCTAGGGGGGCCCAAATTTATGTTATATTATATTTTATAAAGAGATATATTATATTTATTATATATTATTATAATATATTTTTTTAAAAAGTAACATGGGGTGTTTCAACTCTTTTAAGCTCTAATTGATTGCAAATTTGAAAGTTTTAAGTTTGTTGTTATGAAAGGGGATTCCTCAAATTCCAAGTTATGTCCTTCTTTGTTTATTATTTGAAGTATTAAATTTCATTGGATTTCCTTATACTGTTTCCGATTTCAAGTAGCAATGATTTTTGAAAAAACAACAATCTGGAAATCAAAAAAGAAAAAGAAAAAGAAAAAGAAATTATTGAATTGTTACAAATATTTATCTTGTTTATGGATTAGATTTGAATGTATCAGGTGTAGCCTCTTATTTTATATTTTTATATATTGAAGTTTGAATTTATATAATGTATTAGTCTTGAATGTTAAATTTTTAGTTAATTCGAATAAGTTAAATCTTGATTGAAAAATGAGAGTGAGTCTAGCACTTAAGTGAATATATAATATATATATATATATATATGTAAGGGCCTAATTTTTTACATTTACCATGGGGCTTGAAAAATTTAGGATCGGCCTTGGGTACAAGGTTCATTGGGGC